TCAAGGGCCCACACACCTCATCCTCGTAGGCAAGCTTCGAAATCAGAGATCTATTCTCATCCTCGGTGCACACAGCAATGCATTTTCCACGAAAGAATTTAATTTTCGAATTAAAAATGCAGGTCGTTCGGAATATTGAATAAAAATTGTATCAAAGAGGAACAGAGTAGACGTATATTTCTAATTTCTTTGTCGACGTTCTAAGAGAGTGTTGTATTCAAAGTCTTTCTTCTTCAAGGGCCCACACAGTATTTGCATTTTCCACGAAAGAATTTAATTTTCAAATTAAAAATGCAGGTCGTTCGAAATATTTAATAAAAATTGTATCAAAGGAAAGCTTCAAAGTCAGGAATCTATTTTCAACATCGGTGCACACAGCAATGCATTTTCCACGAAAGAATTTAATTTTCAAATTAAAAATACAGGTCGTTCGGAATATTGAATAAAAATTGTATCAAAAAGGAAAAACGTAAACGTATATTTCTAATTTCTTTGTCGACGTTTTAAGAGAGTGTTGTATTCCAAGTAAGTCTCTCTTTTTCAAGGGCCCACACACCTCATCCTCGTAGGCAAGCTTCGAAATCAGAGATCTATTCTCATCCTCGGTGCACACAGCAATGCATTTTCCACGAAAGAATTTAATTTTCGAATTAAAAATGTAGATCATTCGAAATTGAATAAAAATTGTATCGTAGGAAAGCTTCAAAGTCAGAGATCTATTCTAGCAATGCATTCTCCACGAGTTCATCTAGTGATTATCTATTCACATAGATAACCGCCTATAGATCACTAGACATCGTGTCACTTGACAAGACACTACCCTACGATTTACGAAAATTTAGGTTCGTATTACATAATATAATAGGTAGCAATATTTATTCCCAATTTCGTTCTAATCGCTGACAAGAGTTCTAATTTCGGTCACGGATATCTGTCTAATATCTAGTAAGTAATATTACTCGAATATGACTAATATCATCCTCGATTGGGACGCGGAGAATGCAAATGAACTTACACGTGCCCTCGCCATCGGTGTCCATCCGCCAGCAGTAACCAGGATTGACCAGCTTCCGGGAAGCAGTCGCCGGATACTTCCAGCGCAGAGGTTTGCTGCTCAAGGCCTCGTGGTCGGATTCTACTCGATCGGTTTCGATATTCACGGGGCTCTGCCTCGATCCCGCCGCCATTGGGAACTTGGACACCCACGTGCTGGGTCCTGGAACAGAGGAAGATTTTATCTAGCGCCATCGTGACAATGTTTAGCTCTGCTCGATGATAAGACCAAACGAGGCATAATCGATGTTGATGTTTTGAGGAAATTTCGAGTGCTCGATTGTTTTGGAACAAGGACGGAATGAATCATTCGGTAAAACGGTATCGGATTTGTTAGTCACTGACAGTGTCTACGTCAAGGTCGTGTAGTTTATTGTTTCATACCACTCTAGGCTAGAATTAACGTGTATTAATTTGCGCGATTAGATAAAGCGAATTGTTAAGACTGACTTCCTTGACGTACGTTGCTTTCCAAGTGGAATTTTTTCAAATTTCCTATGAAATATCTCGCAGTCCCTTCACGTAGGAAACAATGGAAATTAATTAACCGCTGAGTAAGGTATCGCGTTCCGTTCTTTGTCAGGAGAAAAAGGATGGCTCTTTATTCGAAACTTAATATCACACGAGCTTATCTACTCTCTTAACGCATGCACGCGACATGTAATTACCGAGATTTCTCGTATAATCACACGTTTTTCTTCTGCAACCAGTCGTGCCACGCGAAGAAGTGTTAATAATGCTAGTTAAAAAATCGTAAATAAGAGTTCGCGCATAGCGTAGGAAAATAAACGCGTGACGGGGAGGAAGTCGTTCGTAGTGTCTTTAATCCTCGTGTATTTTGTACCCTTTTTCCGAGCATTTTCATACAGATAACAGGTTCCAGAGTCTTAACTCTATAAATAATCTCACAGACGGTGCGCGTTAAGAGCAACCCGTTTTAACGATATCGAAGCCGATCGGAGCGCAACGAGCCGCGATAATATTAGGATTATCAAACATTATAAATATTTAACGCCAGTATTTTCCCGGAAATTCTACGTAACATTAAACCATGAAAAAACAACTCGATGCTAATGACGTCCGAATTGGTTACGCTAACGGAGTCGGAGCTTTTTACGCGATACCGATCTCCGCCATTAAAGGGTAATTTGACGGTAGCTTGACGATCCGACGAACGACGATAATTAATTATTTCGATATTTAATACGAACGACGATAATTAATTATTTCGATCACCCATTGAAACGGAACGGGAAAACAATTTAGTAAAAATTCGCCATTTTGAGCAATGACAATTAGTTCTAACTTAATAATTCTGCTAATTTACATATTTAGATAGCAACATAAAAGCAGCGTGTATTTGGTTCTTAGGTTGATAAACAAACGAAGATACGGTTAGATTAAGCTAGGCAATTTTGTTTATCGGTTTGATAATTTTAATAAATCGATAATAACCAAACTCAGCGCTCACGTGTTTCTACGATTGGTAAATAAACGAAGTGCAGTTGATTTTAACAACAAGCACTTTTTTAATTCTTTTGGATTTTTGTGTTTGACGAAAAGTAGAAATAGGTAGATACGAAGTCGAACGAACGTGGTTACGGATTTTTACACGTTTACTGTCACGTAACTTTTCACGATTCCGGTCTAAGAAGCGAATTTGATTTAATCACGTTATATTATATTATTAAAAAATTGATTTATAGTAGTTACCGATTTTTACCGGTTCGACGAAGTTAACACGTTGACTGTCACGTAATTCTTCACGATTCCGGTCTAAGAAGCCAATTTGATTTAATCGTGTTATATTATTAAAAAATTGATTTATAGTACATAGTAGTAATCAAATTTGTCGTTAATTTTTTAGAATTTTTACAATAAGCCAAACCTGATTTTTCCTTCTCTTTTCTGATGCTATCTGTTTGTATTTACACTGTTATACTACGGGGTTCCTCGTAGCTGTACAAATATGGCAAGTAACGAAGGGACGAGATAACTCGTGGTAGAAGTCCTGGACCAGTTAACAACCTACGAGATATCCCGTAGTTGGCAGTCAACGTGTTAACCCTTTGCACTCGAGAGGCGACTCTCAGTCGTCATTTAATCAGATTCTAAAAATCGTTGTTAATTAATAACTCGAATTTAAAATTGCCCAACGACGCGTGAAATATCTAGGTAAAATAATTCTACGTCTTATTGTTAACACTTTCGCGATGGGTGACGTCTATATACGGCAGTCACTTGGTGCATCACAGCGGCTGACACCATCTGCATACCACTTTTTGGCCCACAGAGGCCAAATTATATTATTATTTTATCTCAATAGCGAACTCAAGATAAAGCTATAAATACATTGCTGGCGAAATATGGTTCGCCTGCACTTTCGCGAAAGAAGACGAAGTATCGTACTAGTGCACCATCGCGAAAGACGACAAAATATGGTCAGTAATGTTGCGAAAAGTGACGAAGTATGGTACAGATGCGCCGTCGCGAAAGGGTTAATTTGCACTTCTTATTTCCCGTTTTGAAAATATCGTCGACTTTATGTCAGTCTCAAGTCTTCGAATTACTATGTTTCTGTAACGAAAAGATTGCCGAGTGCAAAGGGTTAACCCTTTATGCTCGACGATTTTTTGGCTAAAGAAGGGTACGAGTTGATAAATTTTCTGTCATAAGACCGATGATATTTTTTGAGCAGTAAATAAGAAACCGTATAATAACTAACAAGTAGAATTATTTAATTTCGATACCTCGCACGCTGTTGTATTATTTTAAATTTGATGTATCAATTAATAGAGAATCTTTGATTTTCTACTCTTCTCTAGCCAAAAAATCCAAAGAGTGCAAAGGGTTAATATCGAGCTTCGAAATTTTATCTGCATCGTCGAAAACTGCATCGTCGTAACCAGCCAGGATAAAATTTCGACCTGCTGCAACAGCTTCAGCTAGGTATTATTGTATTAATCGGTAATACGAGTTTAATCGCGCCTGCAGCAACACGATTTCGCAATTCGGGCAGAGATAAAGATCGCGATCGTTTCGAAAGTTGCTTCTCGGTACTCGTATGACTCTTTTTCCATCGCTGCAATTAGGTTTATCGTTAAACAAATATCGACGCTATCGAATCGCTGGGTAATTATCAACGCGTTGAAAACAAGCATTATCGATATATCTCCTTGTAATTTTCGGACCTTTTCTTTTTCCAGAATAATTTATCGGCCGTTTATCGGCAATTTATCGACGCAATGAGCTATTTCGCGGGTAGAAATAAACGAAGCTTCGCTCGATAAGCCGATCGACAACAAGTTTAACGATAATGGCGAAACTCGCGATTGCGTAAGGGTAAGCGCATCAAAACAGCGTGTATTGGTCCAGATAATCGGGCTAAATTATCGGTTGATTTAAGGCGCTTGTTATCACGGACACACGCGTCACGTGCCGCTGCATAAACTTTCGTTTTATCGTGACACGCGATTCTGATATTGTTCCTGATAACGTTGCCTTTTTACCGGTTCGCGTCCTTCGATTACGCTTAGTACCTAGAACGGTGATATAACGCAACGAATTCATGCTTATTATCCCGATCCTTTTCCCATACGTTTCTTTCCCAGCACGGACTTCCTTGAAACTACAATAATAAAATTATAACTCCGATATCGTCACCGATACAGGTAACCATAGCTAATCTCAGATTTCTCGTTGCATTTGCTCTCGCGGTAAGAAATAATTGATAAAAAAAAAGGAAAATGATAAAAAATAATGGTAAAAACGTGACGATAGAGTACAAAGAATAGAAATAAAGGAAAACATTGTCGATAAGTAGGAATTTAGTCACTTGTTGCGAGAACTCCGAGCGAAGAATAGATATTCGGCTTAAAAATGGTACCTTTCTATTTTTACAAATGGCGGCCGATCAGCGACATCTGGCTACAATTAGCGCGCTCTGTCCAGCGACACGTACGTGAGAGTGATTAAACGGAGATCATGCTGGTGATGGATAGGTCAAGGAGGATTCCTTCGTGTCAAGATCATGTGATATTACACCATGATATTTTTATCGCGAAATTTTGCAACAAACAGATTGAAAAAGAGGCTCATGTGCGATAGAAGTGAACAGGGACAGGATCATCGAACTACCTCAAAATAAAACACAAGCTTGGAACAAGCGATATGGATATTTATCGGTAATCGTGAATTCGTCAAAGATACGCGTATTTAACGAGATGTTACGTCGAATATTTTTCCTCGTATACGGATAACTTTTTATTCCCATACGAGTTCTTTTTAGCACGTTTTACTTATTTTTATCGACTGAGAAGAAGACTCGAATACAGAGTGTCCCAAAAAAATGTATACACACTTTGCGTGATTATAAAAACAGTATATATTTAGATGATAATTGCAGATTATGGTGGTAGCACTTTAAAATATATTTACGTTTTTCAAAGTCTAGTATAAAATCAGCCATTATTTTAAATGTGTTGTACCTAGAAAAGAAATAATAAATTAGAAACAATAAGGTATTAAAGCGTGAATACGTTTCTTTGGGACACCCTGTATATTTTACTCGTTTTTATCTTCGAGTAGAGAAAATGTTCGAATACGTTTTCTTTATTTTTATCTTCCAACGCAGCACAGACTGCAGAGTAAAAATTATTCTTCGAGTGCAGTATCGTGTCTTAAACTGCGTTTTCCGTTCTTTACGAGTTTCGTGCGTTGCTACGAAGTCGGTATTTTGCGAGATTTTACACGGTTCTTTTTTCGCACGATTCAGCGTGCGGAAAGAGTCTCAGGTGTAAACGTTCCCGAGGCTACGTCATTTTATTCGAAGCAATTAATTTTCCAAGAGCTTAAATGTACTCCACAATTTTTCGCGATGCATTTTTCTTCGCTATTCCGCGGAATTTCACTGGCACAGGGCGATGGCACCATTTTATAACAGCCCTAACGAGGCGTATCGAACTCGAAACCCGTGATAATTCGAACGATTTTCACGCCAGCGTATCGCGACTCGGCAAACACGGCAAGGTGTGCATTTCATCCATCATAATCTCGCATGCACATTGCGAAATCCGTTGCATCACCGCGGCATTTCCATCTGTTTGCCTGCTTACCATTAAATAATCATTGGTATCTCTAATTAACAAACCAACGTCATCTGAC